CTGGCGAGGTGTCGAAGCAGATATATACATGCGGACAGATTGACCAAATCTATCTTGGTTCCCACCGCTGCACGCTTATCAGAAACGATGAAAAACAGCCGAAACAATTCCAAAGCGACCAATGGAAGATTGCACGCCATTTCACGAGTGGCGTGAGGCATATTTCAATTTGCGAGCTTCTCTTGAGTGCGATGTTAATTGTACTAATTGAGGTCTACTGTTATGGTCATCATTAGTTCCATTTACTCAATTAATTTAGCTTGTAATTGGCCACAATCTGATAACGAGTTATTCGTAATAAAATATTTAGAACATTCGCATTTGAAATTCGGATTAATTACGCGCGATTTTTATCGTAAAGGGTTATCGTTTCAAATGCATTGCATATAGTAACGGTAATATATGAGATATGATATTTCAGGCAGACAGCTTTAAAACGTTTTTATCAGACTTGAGAATGTTTGAGACGCGCTATGCCAAAAAGCATTACCTAAATATTTATCGAATTTGTTACAATTTTCAAATAGACTGATTTGAGTAAACAGGGTCTAGCGTTAGACAATGGATTCAAAGAAAACAAGGCGTTCCTTGAACATCCGTACATCAAAGTATAATTTAACTTAAACCACATCTTGAAGTGTTTCCGTTTTTTAAATTCTTGAAATATCATCTTTTTTACATAGTCGGAGCACTTTTGAAATGATGGCGCTTATCGCCCGAAAAGCAAAGCCCTCGGAGTCGTATTCCCCTGGCGGAGGTACTTTTTAGGTGCGGCTGATTTTCTCATTATAGGAGGGGGGCAACTTATGACTTAGACAATATGACTTCGGTTCTCTCTGATAGTGGGAGGGCTTATACTCAGGTATTTAGAACGGCATTATAAATAGGGGTATTAGGAACGAGGGGGTTTATGGGTGGGTGGTTTGACAAAACTAATTGATTGGTGCGTAAAATATGGGGTTTTCGGGAAACTCGATTCAGTCCATTGGGAGATAATATAGAGATTAAAAAAACAAATTATTCTTTACCTTATATGCTGTGAACGTCTCTCTGTTGCCACTGTGAAGACAGGCTTAAACACGGAGGGCATTTCCACGTCGAATATCTTTTCCCACGCCCTGAAATCGAGAAAAAAATCAGAATTATCAATGAAAATAAATTATCACCATTTTAAAAAAGGCAGTCGGAGGGATGAAGGCTTTTTGTAGTTGAACTTTGAACTTAAATACGCTTGAATCGAGAACTATATAATTAAAAATAGGGGGACTTTTGGGAAGCAAAAATATAACTTATATACATGGAGCCAATAATGAAAAGTTAGTCTATACAAAAAAGGTTGGTTGCCCATTTTAACCGCGGAAACAAGAAGAGAAGATTCAACAAACAGAGAGTATCGATTAAGATTAAACCACGGCCCGTTACTAGGGTTATATAGATTCACATATTCACCACAGAAAACAAAGGTGGTTATAGTTACAAAGTATAAACACGACAAAGATACTATCGGTCTCTTCCGAGCAACTTATCTAAATTCTCACAGACACATGGAGAAAAACAAAATAGCTTGCATATTTCAACACTGATGCTATCATGCACCGCCCTTGGAAAAAGGACAAAACCTTTCCAGGGAGTGGATGAAAAAAAAATGCGCGAGCTAGCTCTACATACAACAAACACACACACGATACATATGATTTTCGATCTCCCGAGAAGCATTTCTCGAGCTGAATAAGCGCCTGTGCATGAACATTGGTCTTAATTTGCAACGAAAACAACGCTGGATTAAGAGTTGCCAAGGAATTCGTTTTATTCATTGCGAATAAATCCTTCGGATAATTTATGAAAGTGCTGAAAGAGATCTTCTTTCTACGAAAGAGTTTTTTTTCGTTTAGATTTTTATCTACGTCCGCCGCTGATGTTCACAAAGATAGTTTCGAAGAGACTTATTTGGAAATCGCCTTGAAGTAAAAAAAGCCCCCGTTGTCCCAAATATTGAACAACAACGATCAAGTTTAAACATACAATATACTACTGTTTGCTTTTACAGTTCATAAGGGTATTACTTGCACTTCAGACATATCTCGACGGAACTAGCCGGGTAAATATTGATTAAATATACAAATAGCGCTTTGTTGCGTCCAAAGACGCGCAGTCCGATATCAACAATATCAATGTTTGCACAATAATTCCAGCCCTCATCCACCAGCAATGATTAAAGCTACGAAAGGTAGCGTTGAATGAGTTTCTCGCATTGTCTGCCGACCGCAGTGTTTAGTTCCAAGGCGGGCCGATTGAGAAAACTCTTTAAATCCATTGTGAACAAACGGGTTTGGACTAATTTGATTTGCTAACACACAGCACTTGATGCAATGGGCTCTAAGTGAGTACATGAATTTTTAACACAAAAGCACTATTCGTTAAGAGTAATTGAATTGATAAAAAACCTAAAGTGGCTTTCCGGCTGCACGCTGCGCTGATGAGATGATGCATGCAAGTCGTGGCCTCGAGGATCGTGGGGAGATGTCGCGTGGATCACACGTTTCCTTCGACTTACAAATGATGAAGAGAAACTAACCAAAATCCTTCGCTTCATACTGAGTGGTTATTTTTATTGTGTGTCACTGTCAGAGCTCTATCTTACAAAGAATTCTATGAAATCTCTTCATAATAAGGTCGAGGTGAGGTTTATATCGGCATTTGCCTTTTTAGGCAATTAAAAGTCAATTACAAATCGGGCGATAATCGCAAGACGATCACTTTGTCGCGTATTCTCGTTTTCGTTTTTTTTACAACAATTTTCCGCGTGGCCCTTTGTATATAGGTGAAGTTAGTTTACGTGGCTTAGAGCAGTGTACTGTGTACATAAAGTTGCCACTGTCCCTGCCTATGCGATCCCTCAAGTTTAATTTTAATAATAAATATTTGATTAGTATATCACTGAGGACCGAATCAACACGCATTAAGGCTCTTAATTTAAGGAAAGCCCGTTCCAAGCGAAGAACATCTCAGATCATAATCTGTTGTTCGGTTTAATGCAATTATTTGGCATATGAAAATTTATTTAATTGCTCGTATGCCAATACCACGGTTAAAATGTCATGAAATGTGATTAAACTAAATATTGAAGATTTCGCAGAGAATATTATGTAAGATTAATGCTGTTCACTGCAAATCCGGTTTTGTCCCAGAGATTTTCATCTCTGCAAGTTAAGTGCACATTCGTCGCTAAAATTTGATTTGGGAAATAAAACTATATCACCGTAATCACAACAAAATCACTTCTCACTTCCAAAGCACTCAAATTCCCTAATAACGTCATCACGCAACGAGTATATTCAGCAAAAATAGGGCAAGAAAAATGCGAACAATCATATTCTACAAGTAAGCATTCGTTTACGAAAGGCAAGATTCAAAATTAAAGGCGGAGAAGACGCCTTTTTGGTAAATCTAACAATTTACTTTGATTATTTCATCTTCAATTACATTAAACTTTAATATGCATTTGTCAAAATAATGCAATTTGTATATTTTTAATTATCCCCTGTGTTTTCGAATCTTCACGACTGCAGTAATTCCGGTGAAATGATGTGTCACTGCCCGATCGATTAGGAATGACAGCATTAAAATATCGTGCGTCTGGAGTTATTCCCTTAACGTCTTAAAAAAATGGTTTGAAAAAAATTGAAGATCTGACATGAAATATATAGTATTCGAAGGAATTAATTTGACCTGTGTACTTTTAAGACCTTGAGCAATTTCAAAAGGAAGACTCGGTTTTATTGACAGAATGTTATGAAACAGTCTTGGAGAGTGGTATATATAAAAGCTAGGCATTTTCTCAGAAAACGCCGTATTAAATGTGGTCTAACGACAGCCGAAAATGGGCAAAAACACTTCTCGAGTGCTCTTCTGCCGAAGGTCCTTAAGGTCGAAAAGTCGAGAAGGGTTTTTCCTGTTTTTATGGCAGTTGTTACACCAGATTCAATGCGACGTTCGTTGATAAGGATGTCTGGGTTTTAAACTTTTTTTTAACGGCTGTCCTGAGCAAATTCGTGAACGAATGCCAGGTCTAAATCCTTCAATTTGAAAGCGTATTCTTGCCCATGCACTGCTTGCTCATTTGGTAAAAGATTGACAAAAGTTGCGACTGTTTCAACGGCTCCCGGATCCATACTTCAGTGCCAACCGACGCCATATTGGTTCTGCTCCACTCTTCCCACAACACGAATCCTGGTTTTAATCCGTCAACCGCCCATTCATATGTATATTGGTCGACTAAATAGGCTCTTTAGGACTCTTTCTTTACGAACCCCTGATGTTTTCATTTATTTGTTTTTCTTTTGATTGCATTAAACGAATATTTACACTTCGATTTTACTGTCCATTTGTGTGAATATAGCGATCGTTCTATCGTCTCAAAGACAGCGACAGCCAGTATTCCACTTCAGCTTATCCACAATGCACTCTCGAGCCGACGATAGCGATCAGGGCCATGCAGACGGAGAAATAAAACTAGCGATGTTTTGAACATCGACCGCATCGTGTTGTGTTCAATTAGTTCAAACCACTTGAAAAGTAAAATATACATTCTAAGCAGATAAAACGGGTAATGAGTTTACAGGCTGGATAATTTCAGAGCGCCCTCGAGGTTTTGATTCAAAGAAGAAGCGAGAGATATCCGTTCGAAACAAAGGCATGACATTTGGCGCAATGACTTATTGAATAAGCCATGACAATCACTTAGGCATTGTGCACAAAGCGTTGTTCGTGGTCGCACCGTGTTTCAACAACAAATTTTAGTGATAAGACGCATAATTACCGGGCACCCTGTCAACTTCCTTATAAAAGACCTTACGTCAACTAAAACAAAGATTACTGCCACAGCAGGTTGAAGTATCAAATCAGAGACGTTCAGGGGCATACAACAGGGCATGAAGTTTCAGAGCTAGAGCATTCTTATCTGCCAAGCCCAGAGACTCAACTCAAAAGACGCTTTAAGTATGTCGACGCACAAACACGAATCTGGGAATGCCAACGACTCGCCATCGAGGCTACCTAGGCCTCATCCTTTCAGCGTTGTGTCGCTGATGTGCGACCGTGATTTACAAAAGCCTCGCTCGAGTCCAACGTCGAGCAAATCCGAACACAAGTTCTCAGTCGAAAGTCTTCTTCAGCACGGCTGTAGCAAGGAACAGCAAACGAGTTTGACGCTTGCAGAGCCGATCAAGCGAAATCTTAACGGAGTCGAGGAACGTGTGATCAAAGATGGTTTCTCATCGTGGCTAAACTCTCCGAGATACAGCCCAGCAAGTACGTAAATATTGTAGGAAGGAATAGCGAATGAAATGAAAAAGAAACGGATCAAAATTGTGGAAATATTCCCCTTTATTTTTCGATTGCATGCATACTTGCATGATTTAGTTCGATATGATATCCACAGGCTGAGGAATTGTTTACCGTTTGCAAATGATACGAGAAATCTCACAATACTGTCCTTTCAAACCTTTAAAGCTAGTGTTTTAGATAGTTTAGCGGGAAATCATATAGACAATGCGATGTTGATAGAGGTTGATACATCTAGCTACCGCGACGCCATGTATTGGCCCGTTGTATATACATATTTAGGTTGGGTATATCGTGACAGTTTACCAGAAAAGCGTTAAACAAACAAATATTTGCAGATAAAACACGCTGTTGAACGTTACAGCCCTGCGTTGTTATCAAACTTGATGGGTTGGCAGGTTTACCTCTGTGGGAATGCAGTTCAGATAATTTGATTTCGATTACATCTCTTCCTTCAAACATGCAAATCTCGACAAACATTAGATTGGAACTGTAATTACAGACAATTGCAGGAGTGATACTCTACAAATGTTTGCACAGACCAAACATAGGTTAGTTATTCATCGTCGTAGGGAAATGGTAACGGAAGAATTTATCTGAATGCGGTTCTATAATAAGCGATGAATATTTTCGAGCTTATAACTTAGCCATAAGAACATAACCACAGGCTCAGTTTTATATCACCCCGAGAAAGCTTCAATAAATTGTGTTTGGCACAGTATAATTGATGCGAGCGAAACTCTGAATCTTCGGTTAGTTGTAGTCCTGCTTCTTCGTGATTTAGGTCATTTCATTTCAAAACGTGGCACTTCATTACGTTTAGCAAAATTTGGATATAAAATCCAATATTTTATCATGATCATATTTCCATCAACTACTTGTCATTAAATTTGGTTTTCCTCGACAGAGTTACGCAAAGAATTCCTTGCTATATGATTGAACTTATTCGTCTGCAGTGAAAAGCAAAACTTGTCAAAAGCGATTTACAACCTTTCACATTTGCATGCAAATGCAATCAATGTAACATTTTCAATCGAAGTGCACTTAGATTAGGCTTTGAGACACTTAATACTCATTGAAACTAATGAAATATTCCTGTAATTGTGTATAAGAATAAAAGGACTGAGTTTTATACGAAAAACCATGCTTGAAAATAACAATAAATACAGCATTTCTGTGCTAATTTAGCTTGCAATGTTACACATAAAGTATTTCATTGTTAAAAATATCAAAACCCTTTGGCTTCAAAGCTTCTGGTATAGCGACATAGATTACTCACAAATGCCCGGGTTATTTAAAGCCGGAAATGTTCAATTGAAAAATATTATCGATTACAAGGTACACATGAAAGTTATTGCAAAGAATGTGTAGTATTTCTTTGTTGGAGTAATCCTCGCATCAAATACATAAAGGTATTCGTGCAGTTTCATTGAGGTTGGTCTCTGAAAGTTACATTTATGAAAACAGAGATTTTGCCATATGTTTTTAAGCTCTCAACGCGCACCGGAATGTAAACATAAGGGTATGGCTCGATTAGAGAGGTCTGAAAAGTTCTTGATTAGCATCATGACTCATGACGTTATATTGGCGACATGGAAATCTGCAGGAAACATCTCCTAGCCAGAAATCCGATAAAAAATCTCGAACATTTGCCAAGACGAAGCGATAATTTTTTTATCCAAGAGCACGTCTGCCTCACTGACAAATTGCAACGCGATGCAAGCTATATTTTTGGCACGAAAATATTGATAGCAATAAACATATTAACATGTCAATATAATCTTCTTAAAAAAGCCCCGATAAACTTGGTATATTGAAATGTTTTAAAAGTTATTAGAAATGTAGGCATAGTTCAAATTTCAGATTTTTACGCCGCTAAATGAATTTGACAGGCCAGTTTTTTCTATTTATGTGAGGCTGGCAATTTCTATAGATTTATATTCAAATAGATATTAATAGATCACAACTGCATGGGCGTAATTCGTATTCGTTTGGCACGGAATATGGAAGGCAATAATAGGGAAGATTTAATATAATATGATGTTATAAATAGCTTTTGTTTGAGAAATTATTTTAAAACACGCCAATGAAAATAACTTTATATTTAAGTAGATATATTAAAAGTAATCACACAGCCGACGAAAAGTCATTTAGAACTTGGAAATTTCCAGAGATCGTCTTACAAAATTTACCACAAAGAATTTTCACTAATAGCGTTCGAATCGTCGGCTCGAGGGCTAGATGAGACCACACATAAACAGACAAGCCGTTTATTAAAGTGCTTGAAATACCTTTAAAAGCGTTTAACAAATTGTCGAGATGATTTTTCCGGTCTCGTTGAGTCTCATTCGCAAAATTAGGATAATTATCATCCATTACGGCATCATCAGGTGGCATCCATAATTGCAACCGTAAATTAGGATGTCTTAAATTTATCTTCAGGAATGCATTGACGTATCGGAGTTAAAATTGTTCAGCCTAATTCATAAACAAATGTTCTATTCCTATGGTTCGTTGCCATAGTTTGGTACACATTTGAAAAACATTTGGAAAATCCTATGTATCGCTAAAATCGCTCGGGAAACAAACCAAAAATCTCCGCTATAACTTGGAACTTTGCGAATAACGAAAAAGCTCTTCAGTTTTAGATTAAGAAAAAACGTAGACGGTCTTGAACGTTCTTATCTGAACACTGTATATATTAACAATCGAAAATTTCAAATTCAGAAACAGAATTAGTTTAGTTTATCGAATCTAATCATAATCTTTCTGGGTTTTGTGCTTCATTCGTATACAGTACATTGCTTAAACCTTCCTAAGCTAGCCCCAATGAGGGGCCAAAACGCCGAGAAATTTCTGGTATATATTTGGGATCGTTGTTGAATTGATTTGTAGATTTAAGTACACGATAGTTGAAGAAGCTGCTAATCTGTTATCGTTCATGGCGCCTGTTTAGTTAGGCTGATTAACCCATTCTGAATGACCTGGTATCGCTGTTTAAAATTGCTACGACTGAGGCATGCAGTAATCCAACAGTGTCAATCAAAGAAAATTCTAGTATCATCAATAGTTAAACGTGTAATGCAGTGCGTGTCTTTAAACTCTCTGAAGAGAGAAACTCTCTGGCTCTCATCACAGTCAAATCAGGTCGATCTAATCTAGGGAAGTCGGTTTGGTTGATATTTGACACGTTGTTTTCACTTTTCCAGGAATTCGCACGCAAATCAGCCCGACCAAATGTCAACTTCGCAAACACAAGACAAATCGTAAGCCACGGACGCCATTCACGACAACACAGCTTCTGGCATTGGAGAGAAAGTTCCGTCAAAAACAATACTTGTCTATCGCCGAGCGCGCCGAATTCTCGTCGTCCCTCAATCTCACGGAGACACAGGTCAAGATCTGGTTTCAAAATCGCCGAGCAAAAGCGAAGAGACTTCACGAGGCCGAAATTGAAAAATATAAGTTGGTCACGAAACCGATACTGCTTCCGCCAAGCGTACCGATTGCACCCCCGTCGTATGCCACTACACGAAGTACCTGCACGACAGGATGTCCGCAGACTCATCCCCATGGTCTGCACTCCCCTGTTCATTATTCCCCTCAAGGACAATCCCCGTATGTTGGTATGAACTGTCCCACAATGCATCACCACGCAATACCGCCAGGCTTCGGACTTATGTGTGGACCAACGCGGGCTCCAATAGCGGACCTGAGTCATTTTGTATTCCCATAAATCCGTCAAAAACACTGGTCTTGCAAAGCAAGTGGATTGTGCATCTTTGCACTTGCTAGATTTGTCTAAGTCCACAAAAACAATACTGTAGCTTTAAAACTCCCCCATCGAACTCAAACAAGCGCAGATCAGTGAACTTTGGATCAATGCTTCATTTATGTCCGATGCTTTAAATTCAGTCGCTTAAAGCGAATGTTTATGTCACGAACTAGTCGGCAAACGATAGTTATCTTCCATCTCAACTAATCTGGCGGTACCAGTCGAGTTCAGAAGCTAAAAATGTTAAAATGATATTAAATATCTATTTATTTGAACATGCTGCTTAACATCATTTTGCCAGCGTAAGTTAAATACTGAAATTTGCATATTTATTTAAAGAAAATATATGGATCTTGTACAAAATAAATGGACACAAACATTCAAATATTGAACGTATACTTCTACGCCTTTTCTGAATTGAATTTTCTCAAAAAAAAACCACTCCTGCCATATAGGGCGAGGTACCCACAATTTTTTTTTGTCAAAGTACTTGTGATAAGTCTATTGCGGTGTCCAAGACGACGATTATTTCTTCGATGAAAGTTTATAATGTATAAAAGAAAAGATGGAAATCTATACGTTCTCCTCTGTTAATTTCTTCAAGTTTTAACGAAAGTTCGAAAGAGTTACCGTGCTCACAAAAACTCAGAAATTTCGCTGCCGTTGACCTTCAGGGTCATTTGGTGAATTACAGTCACACATCTCTGTCTCTTATCGGTAAATTGCCATGGGTACTTAGCACAGATGGCAAGAAACGCTTCTCAAACAATTTGTCACAGGAAATTATCGCTAGCGAGTTATGTTTATTGCATTGCCATTATCTGATGGGCGTCCCCCGGTGTTTGACCCGGGGTCAAAAGTCGTATTTCATTATGCGACAGCCATCGCGTGAGATAAGACTGTGGAAAGATATTCCATGTCACTGCTGGTTGTTGAGGATTCAGAAAAGAGTTACGTAAGGGTTTTTAAAAACTCTGAATTCTAAAAGGCAACTCTCTGAAAGCCTAGAGCATTATTACTCATGCAACCATATCAAGCTGTCTTCGAAAAAGGTTGAAAGTGAAACACTGGATAAAACATTGCAAAGCAGAGAAAGTTCTAGACTAGTCCGGCTAATATTAGTAGCAACAGTCAGCACTCAGTCAGACTAGCAGTACTGCAATGATCAACTGACATTGAGGAAGGTTGAAAGAGAAACACTGAATTAAACATTGCAAAGCAGTAAGTACTAGACTGCAGGCTAGTATTAGTAGCAACAGTCAGCACTCAGTCAGACTAGCAGTACTGCAATGATCAACTGACATTGAAGAAGGTTAAAAGTGAAACACTGAATAAAACATTGCAAAGCAGCAAGTACTAGACTAGTCAGGCTAGTATTAGTAGCAATAGTCAACATTCAGTCAGACTAGCAGTACTGCAATGATCAACTGACATTGAGGAAGGTTGAAAATGAAACACTGAATAAAACATTGCAAAGCAATAAGTACTAGACCCTGGAAACGTCGGGCGTCAGTCAGACAGTCACCCTTTTCAACAGAACAATTTGCAGCCTCAAACCATCAAACATTCCTAAGCAAAACTTTTAGGAACTCTTTAAAACACCCACACAAACTCCCTTTCAATAAAATACCAATAAACCACACGTGTATTAAAAAATTGAATGAAACGATTTTGCGCGTGATCACAAAATGAAATATCAAATTTGCCGCAACATTTTATTGTTGCTGTAATAAGAAGCGCTTAAACGCTTGGCAAAGTCTTCAGTTGAAAGACACAATGATCCCCGATGAACCCATTGTTTCATTCCAAATGCACTTAGACTATAAGTGCTTATTTGTGTCGCATTAATTTGCACTAAAATTAAAGCACTAAAAATAAAGCAATTACATAGATGGCGTACTTCCATTTAAGTGCACGACACTGTATATATGTCAAAAATACGAAATCACGACCATCTCTATAAGGCTAATAGTATTGTATAATTTGTGTTTGATATCTTTTTACAGCTCTTATCAACGCAATCGAATGTCCTTATCCACGCAGACCAGGCTATCTTTGACTGAAACAATTATTCTCTAAACTGATACTCGAGGCAAAGCTTTGGAATTACAAGCATCAACCAGCAATGCATATATACTTGTAACGTTTGAATACTAAAACGAAATCTACTTGTCATCATAAAAGCATCGAAGTAATTTGTGTTTGGTGTTCCCGTTTTTTTAAAACGTTTTCTGCATTTCTGATTTCACAACATATGTTTAGAGCTGACGTGAATACGTCATTGGCATCACGTCGCCAATCTGAAGCATATTAAATACAGATCACGCAGGCAAAATATTTAAAGAAAAAAAACTGTAATTTTCAACATATCAAAATTGAGAATTCGTTATCAGTATATCGACTTGCATTGCGCAGAGGGTGCGACCTATTCAAGCCAAAAGGCCTTTTAGAAAATTCAGGAAGCGGGAACATAAAGAAACTTTAAATTTTAGGGACTTTTAGTTCTCAAGAGCTCTTCGAAGTTAGGATTTCTTTCAAGTGCTTTTTGAGAGTTTAACTAAGGAGTATTTTGAGCGAGATGCATGCATGTAATTGGTTTCAGATCACCAACTTATAGTTGGTGGAATACACAAGACTGCATTCTTCTTCTCTCGTAGACAAATTTTATGGTCTGCAAACCCAAACAACAGCTCAGCTAATGCCGAGTCGATTATAATACTATATTCAGAAAAAAAAATGATAGCGTTCCGAACAAGGCGTTTATTGATTAATTGTAAATTTATCGTCGAGTAATCTTACAAGGAACTAAGCCCTTCACTTTAAATGACTATCGATGAACGAGTTCCGGTAGAGGTCTGTAATTAATTCAAACGTCTTGCCCAAGTATAGCTATGCAGCGTTCCAGATTCCATGTCGATGAATTTGATGTTAGGGATATAATTAACCACTTCAACTGGACGTTGAATTAAGAAAGGTTAAAATTGAAACATTGAGCTGGACTGGTCAGCCTAGCAACAGTCAACACCCAGTCAGACTGGCAGTACTGCAATGATCAACTGACATTGAGGAAGGTTGAAAGTGAAACACTGAATAAAACATTGCAAAGCAGTAAGTACTAGCGTTTGGGTCACCTTTCCTTGCAGATATTTAGAATGTCAAAATCGATTTATAGTTCAAAACCATTTAACAGCAGGCTACATATATGTATCACGAAAACACAGCCATTATATCAACGGGCAATCTGATATGAGATCTTTTAAGGTATGAAAATAGCTCACACCAAACACAAGCAAATTATTTGCCGTATTCAAATACAATGCGTGGACCTTCTTCGTGCAAATTACTCAGCTCCACAGGAAACATCACTTAACATTTTCGAATGGCTCCATTGTAGGACTGATACTATTAATAAGCTTGTTCAAAATACCACTTAAGATCCATTGTCACGACCATATCTTGCGCGAACACCAAAGAAAGTTCTTTGGCCGCCAAATCAAAGCTGTGTGCAACAATTAAACGCACATACTAATCATTTGTGGCCTATTATAGCGAAAGGCGCACTTAAGGTTATTAATGGAGGACTTGACCTAAGATTATTTCTGTCGCAAAAAGCGATACAAGTGTAGCCAATTATAGTAATAAACCTTATTTATGTGAGAGTGCGTGGCTAAAAAACTGATTAAAAAACGTATATATTACTTTTCATCCTTTAAATACACGAACAACTTTATGATACACTTATGAAGACTGCATGGGATTTAATTTTCAAAGCCCCGTGGGATGGTATGACTGCCCTCAAGGCAATTCAAACACGACTTCGCACTAAATCATGCAACGTTGAAATATTGATTTCGACATTTATACAATGACTGAAATGTTTGTGGAGGCTCTTATACAAAGTTCAAAGCAGTTAGCTTCAAGGAAATAGGATATAATCAGTCAGTTCTGGAAATCGTCTGAAAACGTGGATATTTTCATAAATCATGTGTGGTCCCTTGTAGATTGTATCCAATTAATTAGGTTAGGAAATCGTGCCAAATGAGAAAACAGACCAGCCATTAGCAATACTAATTCTTCAAGCTTAATAATGATGATTTTGGCATTAACACATGTTCGTTGACGATGAAACAAACGCACAATGGGCCCAAAGGCTTTTACAACATCATTAGGCAATTAACAGATCATCAAGTGCAAGAAATAAAACCAACTAGTTTCTACGAAGAGAGATCTTGCACAATTATGATACACGAATTGCTCGTGCATGTTTTACGGCGTTGAAACATATTCAGACCCCTGAATGAGGACTGGTCAACAGACGTGAATACTATAGGAATGCCTTTATCTTAAATGTACGGATCACGCAGGTCATATTTATCATGAGAAATTAGCACTATGAACAAGCGCTGAAATTGATACGAATTGCTTATAGGACCAAAAATTGATCGTTTATCTCGACTGAGTATAAATTATCAGGCTCAGAATATTTCTCATTTTCCCTGTATATTCTTTTAAGTGAAAAGTCATAGGCAGGATTTACAGTCGATAGACTTATAACAGAGACCTTAATTAGAGTATACGTTTTTGTAAGTCATTCTATAGTGTTCTTCTGCTAATTTAAAGCGAAACAAATAGAGACAAAATACTCAACCGCAGTACAAAACGAAACTTCTTGACTTATTAAAAAAAACAAATCCTTTTAAAATCATTAGCGTACATTAAAATGCCAGTTTTTCCCAGATAAGCATAAATACACCGCATTTACAAACAAACAGAAATGGGTTCGTATAGACTGGAATAACTGCCTGGTGACTGTATATAGACGTTTATATATTTTCGCCAATGTTGCTAGTGGGAAAAGGTGACATCGTTGATACTTTGTGCTTGGAGCAGCAACGTTGGGGGGGAGGGGAGGGGGGAAATGTAGATTGTATAGATTGACAATGTTGGTGATAATTAATTAATTAAATTGGAAGTCTTTTCAGAAATGTTCTAGTTTAATTTTTAATAACCTCGCTCCAAGGTTAAGCCCACAGAAACGTCCGGAAAAGGGCGGGAAAATAATATTGCGATTAAT